GCGCCGCCTGTCCGGACACCCGAGCAGTACTACCAGACCTTCAGCCCCAGCGCCAGCCACTCTCCAGCTCGCTCGGTCGGCAGATCCCCATCCTACAGCTCCACTCCCTCCCCACTGATGCCCAACCTGGAGAACTTCCAATACAGCCAGCAGCCGCTGAGCACCGGCGCCTTCCAGGCCGGCATTGCCGACCACAGCCATTTCATGCCGCTGCTGAACCCTTCTCCCACCGATGGGACGAGCCCTGACGCTCAATCCGGGAACTGTAAAAACTTGCAGAAGGAGAAGCTACCAGAAAACCTGCTGTCGGACCTGAGCCTGCAGAGCCTCACGGCTCTCACCTCCCAGGTGGAGAACATCTCCAACACTGTCCAGCAGCTGCTACTCTCCAAAGCAGCCGTGCCCCAGAAAAAGGGCATCAAGACCCCAGCAAGGACCCCTGAGCAGCTCAAGGGGCAGCACTGCAGCCCCGAGAGCAGCACCTACTCAGCAGAGCAGGTGGGGACTCCCCTGTCTGACCCACTGAGCACCCCCCAGTCAGTCCATGCCGAGACACAGGACGCTGACTATCTCAGTGGGTCAGAGGATCAGCTGGAGAGGAGTTTCCTGTACTGCAACCAGAACCGCAGCCCTGCCCGTGTCAACAGCAACTCCAAGGCAAAGCCCGAGTCAGTGTCCACCTGCTCCGTGACCTCCCCGGATGACATGTCCACCAAATCGGATGACTCTTTCCAGAGCATCCACGCCACCCTGCCCCTGGAGACCTTCACCAAGTATGTGACCAACGAACGGGACTGTCCCCGGCTGCTCCTCAGTGCCCTGTCCCAGGAGGAGCTGGCTTCTGAGATCATCGTCCTGCAGGATGCCATCAGCGAGAAGGCGGACAAAGCCTGGGCCAACTTGCCCATGCTGAGCAAGGAGGCCAGCAAGTCCCCCTTCCAGCTGGAGAACCACCGGCCCAGCCTGGACTCCATGGTGAAGGGCACCTGGCCCAGTCAGGGTGACTCCAGCACACTCACCGAGCCCCTCAAGCTGGACAAAGCTTCAGGGGCCAGCGCAGAGAAGGACTTTGGCGAGGAGGTGTATGAGGGTCCCCAGGTGGAGTTCACGGCCACCGAAACCAAGGATGTGCTGAAGGACACTGCCCCACTGGCCTTCAACTCCAAGCCCAGCATCCCGGCAGCCACATCGAGTGCAGGAGCCACTGACTACAGCTGCTACTCAAACACCACCGCCAACTCGGTGGGGTCTGAGAATGCCATGGAGCACTTTGACTGGCCGGAGGAGAGCCTGGGAGAGGCATGTCTGCGGTGGAAGGAGCTTCAGGCCACTGACCTCCCCAAGGGCTTGTTCCCCAGCAAATTGGTGAGCTCCTGCAAGGAGAAAAAAAACGCCTGTGGCTTGGATCTGTGTGATGGAGAGCAGCCAGCCAAGAGTGAGCCAGCCCAGGACTTTGGGGAGCAGGCGATGGAGGAGGAGGAGGAGGCACTGACCTATGATGAAGCAACAAAGGCAGACAGCGAGAGGTGGCTTCAGGACACCCGGCACTGCTGCTCAGCCGGGGACTTCAGCGAGATCCCCATCATCTCCTCACCGGATCTGAAGGAGTCAGACCTGGAGGCAGAGGAGTACTCCTCGCTCTGTGAGCTGGCTGGCTCGGAGCAGAAGTCGGTGACATATGACGCCTCGCCGCCCAAGCCCCCGGAGATGCCAGCCGTGCTGTCCTCCAGCGAGGTGCCCGTGTCCGCCGAGGAGACCGTCAGCACGGTGGAGAAGGAGGGCTCAGCTCCCACCCCGCGCCTCTCCGGCCAGTCTGTTATCCTGCTGGGCCCTGCGGTGGGCACGGAGACCAAGGTGAAGAGTTGGTTCAAGTCCTCCCTTCCCAACATCCAGTCCGAGGAGGAGAGCGGCGGAGGGGAAACATCCCATCTGGAGGCTGCTGATGCCGAATCTGCCTCATCGGTCACGGTGAAGCAGCAACTCACACCCGAAAACGTGCTCGGGAAGATGGAGCCTGTCTCACGGGGCAAGAGCCTCCGCAACAAGAGGGTGCACTGCCGGCTGCCGGAGGGGGACAACCCCGGCAGCACCGTGTTGACCCCATTCGATGAGCTGCCAGCAGCCGGCGGCGTGGCCAGTGCCTGCCTGGGGCCAGATGGACAGACGGAGGTACCGAGCAAGAGCGCCCAGAGCCAAACGCCCCGGTTTCCAGCTGAGGGTCTCCCGGCGCGCATGTGCACCCGCTCCTTCACCGCCCTCGCCGAGCCCCGCGCCCCGGCCCCGCTGGAGGGGCTGAAGGCTCCCACACACCAGGAGAAGCTGGGGAAGAAGCCTGGCTGCGGCGTGAAGCAGCGGGTTGCTTTCAAAGCCAGAAAACGCAGCAGCCGGCCGGCCCCCAGGGTGGTCCAGAACAGCAGCGATGC